AAAAAAATAAACCTTTGGAAATGTTTCTTGTTTTTGCTGTTATATGTTGAATAATTGGGAAAAGTTACAATTTGTTCTTGAAAAAACATCCACCGGGTCTCCTAACAATCTTTCTTTGGGTTTTTATAACCCTGGTTTTATATGTGTAACTTAAAAGAAAAATTGAAAAATACATATGATGATTTTTTTGTTCTTGCTTGCTTGTTAGTGGGGAGATGAAATCGGACGTGGATCAAGGGAGGCCACGGGTAGAGCTGGGGTGTTGGCAGCTACTGTGTGGAGTGTAGAACCAACTGTCGTTGGTGGAAGATACTGGAATGTGGACGTGGAGGGGGCAGCTATTCCTACTGGAAACTGCTGAAACGTGGATAAAAAGGCAACCATGGGTTGCTGTCGGCGTGGAGTGGAAACTGCTGAAATGCTAAGGTAAAAACAAAAATAGTGATTATAGCTGCCCCTCTTTGCTCGTTGCTGTGGAACATGAATGGAGCAAAGATATAAATCACTATTTTTTGTTTAAACTATTCAATCTTTTGAGCTATAAGTTCTTCTCATTATGAACCTTTTGCTCAATTTGGACGAATTCTTCTCATTATGAACTCTTCCACTGGGAATGACGATCCACCTCATTCTGTGATGGATTTGATTAAGAATGACAATGTTGATGTTGATATGTCTCCTTCTGTGATAGAGTCAAGCAAAAGGTTGAACAAGTTCTTCTTATTCTGAACTTCTTCTCCCTCTTTGGATGAGTTCTTTCCATTATGAACTCTCCATTGAAAATGTTGATGCTGATATATCTCATTCTGTGATAGAGTCAAGCAAAAGGTTGAACAAGTTCTTCTCATTATGAAATTCTTCTCGCTCATCGGATGAGTTCTTTTCATTATGAACTCTCGATTGGAAATATTAATGTTGATCTATCTCATTCTGCGATAGAGTCGAGAAAAAGATTGAATAAGTTCTTCTCATTATGAACTTCTTCTTCCTCTTCGGATGAGTTCTTCTCATTATGAACTCTCCACTGGAAATGTTGATCCCTCGAGTGAGGGGTCGTTGATTCAACTCCATATGCGATGAATCGAGCTAAGGTTGAACAAGTTCTTCTCATTATGAACCTCTGCTAACTTTGGAATTCCGGTCAAATATTCAACATCTGGATGTAAATGAATAAGAAACTTGTTTTAAGAGAAGATTCTTGAGTGAGATAAATTTTTTTTCAAAGGAAAACTGTCTCTGTTGAGTTAATCGATCGGATGAATCGGCCAAGAGGGGGTGAATTGGCAATTAAAATTTTGGTGGAAGCTTTGATAGAAAATTGAAAATATTTGCACAGCGATTTTTTGTGGTTCGACTTTCTCAACCAAAGTCTACGTCCACTACCTTAGTTATCCACACTAAGGGTTTTCCAAAAATTCACTAATTTGTCTTTCTTTTGTGGACAAAGAGTAACCTTACAACTCCCTCAAGAATTATACCCCAAATTCTTGAGAACACTCTCTCACAAAGAGAAACTTACAAATTTTGCAAACTTACAGAAAAACCTCACAAGGTAGAATGTTTGCACAATTCTAGAACAAAGAAAGAACACTCAAAGATAATTACAATTGACACAAAGTGTGTTAAAAGCAAAATGAATATTGAAAGGATTTTAGATTGAATTGCTCAAACTTGAGGTTTGATGCTTTCTCTCTTGTTTCTATCTCAATTCTTGTGTAATTCTTAATCACCAATGGCTTCAGAACTTGTTTAAATACACCTTAGATGAATTCTGAAAGTTGGAAATCTTGGTGAAGTCAATAGAGCCGTTGTAGTGTGAAATCCACTTCAAAAAGTTACTGGGAGCGTATGGGTATCGATACTCCTTAATAGGGGTATCGGTACTACCTGTTATAAATTCAAATATTTCGATCGTTGCATTCCAATGTTATCGATACCGTGTAGGGGTATCAGTACCACTTTGGCTTTCGATGTTTTGGGGGTATCGATACTGTATAGGAAACATCGGTACGACCCTTATGAAATCTTAATTTTGACTCGATTGTGGTTCGAAATACTTTGTAAAAATTGTTTCAAATATATTTTAAGTTTAAAACTCAAAATTTCATTTAGTAAGGAGTAAAATTGATATTTGAAAACTTTGGAGTAATATTTGAAATATTCGAATAATTGAATCGAATATAATATTTCAAATCAAATATAAAATCTTAAAATTACTTAACACTTTGTTATATCGAAATATCAAAATGTTTTCAACAATCTCCACCCCTTTTGATATAACAAAACATTTTTGAAATTTTAAGATTTTCTTTTGAAAATTCATTTTTGAAAGATTACTCCCCCACTCCCCCTTACTATATTCTCCCGCTTTTTGTTAAATAAAAAAGACTCTATGATTCATTTTAAAACAAGTTTGCCAAATTTATGTATATATATGTATATTACTGCTAAGATCAAAGACAGTAGAAATATTAGCCATTAGTACACATAATCAATATTCATAAATAATATGCAATAGGGATTGGTCCTAATTGATCTAAAATATAAATGATGCATAAACTAATTAAAATAATCATTCAATTAAGTTCAAAAGTCTAATTATTCAAAATTAAACACCCAAAACACAAACAACCAAATATTCAAACATCCAAATCATAAAAAATGTTTAACAATGTATAAGTTCAAAGTTCAAAATAAGAAAACTAGCAAGGCAATGTCAGTCATCCATCGGTGGATAGGGAGGAGAAAAAATGTGCTCGTACAGAAGCCACATCTCGTGTAAGCGCATCGACCCTTGCATTGAGTTCGTCAAAGAGAGCTTAAGTTTCCCTTTATTGCTCTAAGTGTTGAGCTGTGAATTGGAACTCTAAGGTTGCAAACCTCAATTCAAATGTCTCAATAAAATATCGAAAGTAAGAAGGAATCAGACTCTCTTGCCTGGTTGGCTCGTCCTCGGTCTGGTTTACGGGATCGTCGACATCCTGTAAGAGGTCTTCAAGCTCTTGAGCAGCAGCCGGAGACGAAGCAGCTCGTGAAGAGCTAGCACTAGGGGTTTTCTTTGTTGAGCGAATCCAATTTTTATTGTCATCTATAGTCCATCCCGATTTCTTTAAGGATTTGAGGTTAATTTCGGTGGTCAATGGGATGCCTATGTCTAGGTCTACCTTAAGGTCGGTTGTGATGAACCATAAACTAAAATTTTGACTCTTTTTTGAAGGAATGTTGTTTATGGTTTCTACGAGTTCCCCAAAGATAATTTGAGGGAGATTTATTTTCCTTTTATGTTGGATGCAATGCATCCACCATAGGTCAAGAGCTCTAAATCTAGAATATTTACCTCCGGATGGTCTAAATCACCAAGAGATCATGAAGTGTAGGAAACACTCTTGATAGTCAAGAATGCTTACGCTCGAATTGACTTCATATTGTGAAGGCACTTTCTCTCTCTCATTATCTAACCCTTCATTATCTAATCCAAAGGTTGTGGATATAAAGTCTGAGTCTATATTGATGTATTACCCCAAGAGATAGGAGCGAACACTTACGGTTTCGGTTCGAGACTCATTTTGTACACACACAGCATTGTAATAGAAAATACGAATGAGTTTTTGATAAAAATAGGTTTAATTTTCAATAGTTTATCAAATTTCCATGATATAAGGGTAAGGAGATATTTGAAGTTCATGTCAATCATGGCTTGAATAGACGGTATACGCTCTCCCCTAATATGATATAACTCAAAATGGTCAACGTACCGAGTATAGAGACCCCTACGGTTAGGTTCGTTGAAACAAGAATTTGGAATGGTCATATCGGGTTCATTAGGATTGGGATTTGGAGGTGGATTGGAGGTTGGTTTTATGGTTGGGAGGAACGACTAGACCTAGGGCGTTTATGAGATTGAGACATGGTTCAAGAAATCAGAATTGGATGGTGTACTTGCAATTAAGCAACATATGTATGCAACACAATTAATCCCAAAAATCAATATGAGTCCTTAATAATCAAGGTTCTCTAGCACTATTGTCTAATGGGAAAATTTTGAAAACTATTTAAAAAAATAAGTTTGAAAAATAACAGTATGTATAGTTTTCATGAAAACAATATAATTAAATCAAAAACACTAATTAAAAAAACATTTTTTATCTCGAAATTTTCTGAAAAATTTAAAAATGTGTTTTTGATCAAATTACGTGTAGATTATAGTTTAAAACTATAATTTATGAAATGTCTAATCACTAATTTGAACTAGAACTAGTCATATGTTCAAAAATCAATAAAACAGTGGTTCAGATAAATTATCTTGAAAAAATTGAGATTGAGTGGGATGTGATGTTGTTTGCACGATTTTGATAAGTGTAGCAGGATTATAAGTTGAAGAATGAAAGATTTTCGACTTGAAACTGTTGAAATAGAGCAATGTGGAGATTTATGGATATTTTAGAGAGGATTGACGTGAGAGTGTTGATATTAGGGGTTTTGGCAAATAAAGTTATTTTAGGGATTTAAAAGCCTAAAAAGAACAGGGGGTATCGGTACCCCTCGAGGGGTATCGATACTTCAAGGCATTTTTACGTAGTATCGATACAAGGGTATTGATACCCGTTGAAGAAGTATCGGTACTATGAAGAACAGTATCGATACATATTGAAGAAGTATCGATACTATGCTAGTAGTATAGATACCTTGCACCTAGCAAGAGGATTATCGGTACTGGGTGACCAATATCGATACCAAATGCACAAAATGGTCAAAAATATACATTTAAACACATTGCATGCAAAATTAATCAACCCTAGTGGTATTGGCAACTCATATTATATGAAAATTAATTATGTTCAATCAAACAAATCACACTTAAGCCTAATTTGAACATATTATTAATTTTAACTAAATATCATAAACTCCACTAACTATTAGCATAGAAGGCGTTCAAAAATGTTATTTTTATATGCATTTTTCTTTAATAATTAAAAGTGCTAAGATTATTTTAAACACAGAATTAAGGTAGGTTTGTCAGACCTAATTCTCTCCTAAGTGTCCAAAATCTTTCTTTATCTAAAGGTTTTGTAAAAATATCAACTAATAGCTGCAAAGTATCTACAAATTCTAAAACTACATCTCCCTTTGTGACATGATCTCTAATGAAATGATGTCTAATTTCAATGTGCTTAGTTATAGAGTGTTGGATGGGATTTTTAGTGAGACAAATAGCACTAGTATTGTCACACTTGATAGGAATGGTACCTACTTCAATTCTATAGTCTAAAAGTTATTGTTTCATCCATAAAACTTGTGCACAACAAATAACGGCTGAAATGTATTCCGCTTCAGTGGTAGATATTGCAACACTATTTTGTTTCTTTGAAAACCAAGAAATTAGCATATTTCCTAGGAATTGACAAGTACTGGAGGTACTTTTCCTATCTATTTTGCATCCTCCATAATCCGTATTCGAGAAGGCATGCAAGCTAAAGCTAGAGTCTCTAGGATACCAAAGTCCTATACTAGGAGTGTCCTTAAGGTATTTAAAGATTCTCTTAATGGCTTATAGATGTGATTCCTTAGGGCATGATTGAAATCTAGCACATAAGCAAACACTAAACATAATGTATGGTCTACTCGCGGTTAGATAAAGCAAAGAACCAATCATTGACCTATACAATTTAACATCGACACATTTACCTCCTTCATCTTTGTCAAGCTTTGTAGATGAACTCATAGGAGTGGCTTGGGGTTTCACATTCTCCAATCCAAACTTTTTGATCATATCTTGAACGTACTTTGCTTGATTGACGAAGATGTCATCTTTTCTTTGCTTGATTTGGAGCCCCCAAGAAAAATGAAAGCTCCCTCATCATGCTCATCTCAAACTCACCTTGCATTAGCTTTGAAAATTCTTGGCAAAGAGCATCATTAGTAGAACCAAATATTATATCATCAACATAAATTTGAACTACCAATAAATATTTACCTTTTCGTTTCAAAAATAATGTAGTGTCAACCTGCCCTTTTGAAAAACCTTTTTTAATTAAAAAGTTTGACAATCTTTCATACCAAGCTCTAGGAGCTTGTTTTAAACCATATAATGCTTTTGTCAATTTAAAAACATGATTAGGAAATTTTGAATCTTCAAAACCAGGATGTTGTTCCACATACATTTCTTCTTTTATAAAACCATTTAAAAATGCACTTTTAACATCCATTTGATATAATTTAAATTCATTAAAACATGCAAATGCTAACAACATTCTAATTGCTTTCATCCTAGCTATGAGAGCATATGTTTCATCAAAATCAATTCCTTCTTCTTGAGTGTACCCTTGAGTAACAAGTCTAGCCTTGTTCCTCACTATATTACCACTTTCATCTAGCTTATTCCTAAACACCCATTTAGTACCTATAGTAAATTTATTACTAGGCATTTCAATTAATGTCCATACTTTACTTCTCTCAAATTGATTTAACTCTTTTTGCATAACTATAATCCAATTTTCATCAGTTAATGCTTCTTTAACATTTTTAGGCTTTATGCATGAGATAAATGCAACATAATTATAAATGTCCCTAAGAGAAGATCGAGTAGTTACCCCTTTGGATGGATCACCTAAAATCTCACCATCCTTGACATAGTTGTACTCTCTTGGGAATGTGATTTCCCTTTCTTCAATGTTTAGATTCTTGAAGGCATCTTGAGTTTTCTAATCCTTCACTTCTTTCTTTGATGATGGTTCTCCCACATCATTTGCATTTATTGTACCTATGTCATCATCAACACATGAATCCTTCCTCGGAAGGGGATTACCATCGAAAACAACATGAATATACTCTTTTACCACTAAAGTTATTTTATTAAATACACAATAAGCTTTAGAATTTAAGGAATAACCCAGAAAAATTCCTTCATCACTTTTAGCATCAAATTTGCCAAGGTTGTCTTTACCGTTGTTTAAACAAAACATTTACATCCAAAAGGATGAAAATAACTAATGTTAGGCTTTTTATTTTTGAAAATTTCATATGGAGTTTTCTTTAAAATAGGCCTAATCGTTACTCGGTTAATAACATAACAAGCGGTATTTGTGGCTTTCGCCCAAAAATATTTTGGCAAATTGTTTTCACAAAGCATGATACTAGCTATTTCCTCTAAAGTTTGATTTTTCCTCTCAACGAATCTATTTTATTGAGGGGTTCTAGGTGCTGAAAAATTATGGCTAATCCCATTTGAATTATAAAAATCAGTAAATCCAAGATTTTCAAATTCAGTACCATGATCACTCCTAACACTTGAATGGAGTAGCCTTTTTCATTTTGGATTACTTTTGAAAAAGTGATAAAATTTTCTAGTGCTTCATCTTTAGTACTTAAAAATAGAACCCAAGTAAATCTAGAGTAGTCATCTACCAAGACAAAGGCATATTGTTTTCCACCCAAGCTAGTTGTTCTAATTGGCATAAAAAGATCTATATGGATCAATTGTAAAACTCTACTAGTGGATACAATATTAATGAATTTAAAGGAAACTTTCTTATGTTTTCCTTTTTTGCATGCATCACAGATTTTATCAAGATTAAATTTCAGTTTTGGCAACCCTCTTGCTAAATTGCCTTGATTTAGTCTTTGTAAAACACTCATTCTTGTATGTCCTAGTCTCTTATGCCATAACCAACTATCATGTTCATCCTTGGAAACTATGCATAAATTAGTCATATTTATTGAATCTAAATGCACTATATAAATGTTTCCTATTCTATGACCAATAAGCATAATCATATTAGATACAATGTCTATAATTTTACAACTGTTAGATTCAAATAAGACATTGTATGTAACACTCTAATTTAGGGGCTAAATTTAAGAAATTATAAAGTGGTGAATTTAATTGGTATTTTGAAAGAAACGATGGATTAAATTGTAATATTTCAAAGTTGACAGACCATTTTAAGAAGTACAGGAAATTCAGTGGCTAAACCCATGATTTAACCATTTTTATTTTGGAGAGAAACATAAACTCTCCCCGTGCGGAGGTTCAGCAGAATTTTCTCAGTTTTCGCTCTCCAACAACCCTAATTTCAACTCCGATCTACTCGTCGTCCGAACTCCGATCGACGAACCGAAACCACCATTGTGTTCGTTGTCGACCGAGTAACAAAACCCCTCAAACCTTTCATCGTGAATCGTCGCCATTCGTAGTTAATTTCAGTCGGAAGTATCGTCGGTAATTACTCGATTTCAGTTGATTTTTCGTCGATTCACGACGATCCGGTCATCTGTTTACGACACCTCCCACACCATCGTGTTCCTTGCATCGTTTCGAGTCCACTGGTGTTCTCCGTTTCTCCATCGTCGCCGGCGCATGGAGGGGTGAGACCGTTAAAGTTTTTGATGTTTCGAAATCGAGCTCTCCGCCGTTCAAAATTGTGAACCGAGCTTTGTAAGTGCCTCAAAATCACTTAAATTAATTTTTAGGAATTTTTCCAGGAATTTTCCGACACCGTAGCACTGTTCACGCACCACACGCGTCACCCCCCGAGAGTGGGCATCGTCTGGGTGATAATTTAGTAATTAATTTATGTTTGGGTGCTATTTGTGTAAAATCCGGGTGTTGTATTGGTAAATATTTGCATAATGTGGCTAATTTGGTAATTAATTTCTGTTAGGGTGATATTTGTGTAAAATGGTCGACTGTTGATCGTTGACCACAGTTGACCAGAACTTTGATTGGCTTTGACCGGGCATTAAACGACCTTTGACTTTGACCGAGTATACCTATCCTGACATTTTTCGACGTTCCAAATCCGATTCTGCAGTTCGTTTTTCAAAATTCGAACCCGAAGGCCTTGAAATTGTCAGTCAAACCCGTTGACTTTGATTTTGACAAAAAATTCCAAATTTTTTGAAAAGTTATATTATATGCTTTCGACGTCCTGAATCCGAAGTCCGTTTCGATAAATTCAAACCCGGTAAGCTAGTTTTGGTTGATTTATCACCTGATTCAATCCGTTTTTCGAAATTAAGCTCAGTTTTTGATGTAATTTCTGTTGATATGGATCCGAGGAAATATTAGAAGATGATTTCAAGATTGAGGGCGTTCGAATAGAATTTAATTATCAATCAATATTGCACAAAAATTGAGGTAATATTTTACTACCTCTTTATGTTTTATGGAACATGTTGATATTGGTAAATGCATGAATAAGATAATGTTGGTCGCTTTTGTGGAGTTGAATAACTTATTCACTCGATATGAATGTGGTAGAAATTCTATAATTGAATACGGATCGAATGACTAATATAAGAGATTGAGGAATTGTTAAAATTAAATTACAAGTTTGTGATAAGTGATAAAGAAATCAACCCTGGATTTGTAACTTATATTTTATATCATCAAAGGTTAAATGTTAAAGGTACTTATATGGGAAATTATGATAATATTTCGATTAGGTAAAATTACGAAATTACCCTTATGTTGGAAAATGACAAGAATTGTCCCTGGAAGTGGATTAGTAAATACGAAAAGACATATTGATCTGATAAATTTATTGATGTGCATAAGAAATGTTAGTTTTACTTGGAAATTATGGATAACCGGTTTTTAACCCCAATAAGGATTATGCAAGATACTAGAAGTCTGTTAAGGAATCATTTCAAGATCAGAGAATGTTCGAGGAAACAACTAACCATAGGATCTTTAAATTATAAGTATGCTCGTTAAGAGTTAATACCGAAATCATCTGGTTAAGAAATTACGAAAATGCCCTTGAAAGGTAAAAATAGCTCGAGTTGACCCTGAATGAGAAAGTTCTTTGAGGATTTGTACTTAACTCAATGAATTACAGATTTAATTGTTAAGATCCTGTCTTTGTATAGAAAATTTCTGATAACCTGTTGGTAACTTCTGAGAAGACAATCGATCTGAAAATCTTCGAGTTAAGAATAAATTATCGAGGGTGCTCTTTTATCAGAATTATTTGAAAGGTCTGGAATAAATTATAAGTTGGAATTAA